AAAAAAAAAAAGCACCTCTAATAATTAGTTCCTACTTTTTTCTAAAGCACTTGAAAAGAATAACTTACTTTTCAATGAATTTGTAGTCAGTACAAAAATGTTTAAATTTAGAAAACAATTTCAGCAAGCATTAATAGGGAAACATAAGATCTGTCCAAATTAGAGAAAGTTAACTCTTCTGTGTAGTTTAAATATTCTTAAATTTAACAATTCAACTGCAAATTATTCAGCCAAAACTTCTTCAAATTACTTTCTCCACTTAAAAAGAAGCTTCAATTAACAATTATTCCCCAGTAGTGTGTCCATTTATTTTAAAAAGGCAAAAAAAGAAAGTCTTTACCTTATGTTTCGCTGAATGCTGGATAAGTTCTGTAATTAACACTTTGTCCTGTTGCAACCTTCGCTTCATAAGCTTGGAGCAGTTGATATTAATGGCTTCCAAAATGTGGGATGTATTGTATTCTACAAATGGCCGGCTATCAATTAGCAGCACTTTTTCCGTTCCACTTTCCAGCAGAGCCACCAACCTCTCAGTAACAATTTGAGTTCCAATCATCTCATGGGCCATGACAACAATAAGTCTTCTTTTTCCACCTCCTTCTTTAATTTGCCACGATGATGTAATGGTGGTGTGCTCAAAGGCTCAGCCACTCCATTGTACTAAAAATGTATGAGGTCAGGCTGGTGGTGACTGGCAAAAGGAGAGTTAAACCCATTTTCAGCAAGAGCCCTCCAACTGAATGTCTCTTTCTCTTTCCCGTTGATGTGCTCTTGCAAAGGACTCCTTCCACAAAGCAGCCCCTCACATTTGATTCATCGAGAGATGACTGGAATAACCATTCCACAACAAAAGATGCTTTGGGGCAGCCAGTGCATTACATCATTCTTTACCTTTGCTCCCTCGCTCCAACAGCTTTACACTGGACTGACAGCCTACACGAAGGAAGGAAGAAAGAAAACAAAACGTGGAGTCAGGAAAAAAAGAAAAAAACATCAGAGTAGAGAGGGTATATGATTCATAATATTTACTCCATTAATCTAAATCCATCATTAGTGTGCTATTTTATTTGAACAAAAAGAACAGGTATGGTTTTGAGAAAAAAACATGCTAGTGTAATTCAACTTTACCTCAAAATGTAAAAACTTCAAGAAAACATGAATATTCATGAATTGGAATCACCTGGAGACCAGAAATAAATGATCTGTATAAAATTAAAGAATTATAAAGAACAGCTTGAAGTATTATTAGTTCAACTGGGTTTCTTCCATTTTATTTATCTATTTCTTGAAAAGAGCACTTACAACAGCCTAGGATCAAGTTAGCAATTCCATATTATCAAGACAAAAAAATCTTTTCTGATAACTTAAGAATTACCGTGATGAGTGGTGGTAGTGGGGGGGATGTGCTTGTGCACAAACTACAGGTTGCAAAAAGCAACCCCTAGAGAAGAGGGAGGAAAATAGGAGGTTGGATAATTGTATTTCAGCTACCTTTTAAGGAAGAAGGACAAAAACACTGAAATGCTTGTTATAGCAACTGTGGAACTATCTGCTGGGGACTTGTGATGCACCCAGCTCCACTGGAGGCAGTCTCGAAGCTATGATCCTGGTCTGTCTCTTTCCTGTGAGCTTAACTAGACACCCAGAGTTCCTTGATCTGTAGTAAGCTTACCCTTCACCTTCTTGTGCCTCATCCTCAAGAGAATCAATGACTTCCAGCCTTAGAAAATTTTATTCATTAACCAGGTACTCTAAGTCAGCTACCCAAACAAATAGAACCTTTAAAGATGGACCTAGTGCCTCCCCTGTTCTTACCAAATGCCTGTAGTCAATCATTTCCTGATTAACATTTATTGGAGTTTGGTGCCCATGATTTGGACCTGACCCTGACCTTCAATATTCTCTGATTCCTATTTCCCTTGATCCATCTCTGCTTATAAGAAATCATCTGCCACATTAAACTGTGTCTACTGTTGACATTCAATCAACATTCAACCATTATCCAATCAAAGGATAAACTAATTGATGGCAAAGATTTGGTATTACATTTCTTATTTCTACTGTGCTATAAATCTAAGGTGATCCATTTATAAATTACAATAAAACCCTCCTTGTTCCAAAAACAATTTAAGACTCTAAATAAATATCTGATTAACTGATTTCAGATCAGGATGATAGAGTCTTCAAACTTCTTTGGGTCATATTTTCTTATTTTATACTTACAAATTTGAGAAGTGGCCTTGACATTTACTGGTTATGCAACTTTGAACAAATAATATAACCTATCTAAACTATTTTCCTCACCTACAAAATAAAGATGTAATAGTGGCCTTGTTTCCTCACCAAAAAAAAAAATTGTTCTGAGGACAAAATTATCTAATTTATTTAAAATTTATAGGTAAAAAAACAACTACACATCAAATAGAGAAGGGAGGGGGAAATGTTCTAAATGCACTGGTGAACAAAGCTGGCTTACATCTGGAATTTTAAAAAGGTATCACACTGCAAATAAAACCAGAAATAATTTTACCCTGCTACAGTGCAGCTGCAACCTCTCTCACAGAGTCTGACACATGGGAGTTGAAGGCACCTGAGAAATCATCTTATATACTCATTTTACAAATCAGCTGTATTTAATATATTATGTGTCCATGTCTTGTCTTCCAGGAAACAAATTTCATTACACTAATGAATTTAGTTTTAGTATAGCTTCATATCAATGAGGTACATAGTCATCTCTAATCTCAAGGGAAAAAAAAAACTAGAGCAGAGAATTTGATAATTAAGCCCTAGCCAATCAACTAATAAACTTTCACAAAGCACCTACCAAGCATCTGTCAAATCCTGACTGCTTGGTGACACCGTTCACTGCAAAGTAAGGTCCTATACTCAGATTGTCTGACTTCTGCTACTGGGTTACCCAGTTTTTCCCTAAGTGCCTGATCCCATAATGGAACTGGACTGGGAAAGAATAACTTGACTTGTCCACAAGGGTGCCTGGGTGGCACAGAAAGTAGAAATCTGAGAACAAGAGCAAGTTGATTCCAACAATGGCACTGAGTCTCTGGGTCTGATTGGCTCCTCTCGATGATAAAATCCGGATGGAACAAAGCAGTGATCTGGGTTAGTGGATCAATGAACAAAAGGAGAGAGAAACAGAAAACATGCAAAAGTTGGACTGGGAAACTATCATCATTGCTCCCTTCTGCAGGCAGTTATGCAGAGTAGAAAATGATCATTCCTCCCCAGACAACCAGGCAGCAGTGACAGACACAAATTGACTCTAAGATGAGGACATAACTGAAGCAAAGGATTTAAAGTGAAGTGAGAATTAAGTTACATGCTTTCAAGTGTTGTGCTGAGGCCAGCTGGAGCCCTCCTAGTACACCTTCATGGCCAATGTCTGATTTTCTGTAGTCCTAAATGAATTATGTGAGAGGCATAGCCTGCCAAGGGGTTGTGGAGGATGAGGTAACAATGGCCTTAACCTTGTTTATTAAGAATTCTGGTTAAGGGGCTGGGGTTGTGGCTCAGCGGTAGAGCACTCGCCTAGCACATGTGAGGCCCTGGGTCTGATCCTCAGCACCACATAAAAAAATAAAAGTATTATGTCCAACTACAACTAAATAAACAAAATATACTCATCCTTGGTTACAGCTCTAAAATTTTTCTCCATTTACCTGAAGAATGTCAGTACTCCAAATCAGAGACCTGTCTGTGACCGTTTGTTTTCAAGATCTTTTGCACCAAGTGGGATTTAAAAGATGACAAGAAAACATTTTATAATTTGCAACATCACCAAGCAAACCTTAACCAAAATTTCTACAAGAAGTTCTTAGATTCTTAGACTGAATCATAAAGGTCCAATTACACATAACAAAATCCAGGGCAAACAGGTTTTGTATTTACTTAGCCCACTGTTAAAGCTATAACTAATTTATTCCCATTTTTAACAGATAGTCATATGATTAGAAAAATAAAAGTCTAAAATATGTGTGTAACATGCATATGTACAGTTTGTGTCCGTTATATGTTAGAAATTTGTTGAAACTTCAATATATTTAAATGAAAAAGAATATATTGAAAATGTTCCTCAAATCCTTATCCAGATCTCAATCTTGCCCTCTAAATTGTAACCACTGTTAATATTTTTTTCTGATTTCTTCCAAAGTTTTTTTTAATTAATACAGATTAAAGCAAATATATATTCTTTTCCTCTCCTCTATTCAAATGGTTACACTGCATATGCAGTTTTTGCATCTTTCACTCAACACTCCAATTTGATTTTTTTCAACATTTTATCAGAAAATGAACCAGTTTATATATCCATGGCTCTTTCATATGTGTCCTTATATCTAAATAAAACATGTATAACAGACAATTCCCCCATACACCCTAGAATTACCTCTGTTCAATCAGCTGTTTACCAGGGTATCTAAAAGCTAAAGAGTACTTAATAACAATGTGCTCAGAGGGTCATCAAAGTATTTTATGGCATCCTGATAAGCAAACATCATCTATAACTACTCTGACTTAAAGCTAAAATGAGATAGTATACATTCATAGGAAACTCACTCTCTCAAATGATACCCTAAAGTCAATAAGGCAATATTTATCATATTTAAGACTACTAACTTAACCAGGGCTACCCAAGAAATAATTGCAAAGTATCCCATGTTCATAAATAAAGTATTTAAAATTATTTACCCAGGGATTAAGACACAACATTTTAGTATAACAAAATGATCAAAAACAAAATCAGAGTAAAGAAATGTCATTTCATAAAAAAAAAAAATGTGGCATTTATACACAATGGAGTATTACGCAGCACTAAAAATGACAAAATCATGGAATTTGCAGGGAAATGGATGGCATTAGAGCAGATTATGCTAAGTGAAGCTAGCCAATCCCTAAAAAACAAATGCCAAATGTCTTCTTTGATATAAGGAGAGCAACTAAGAACAGAGCAGGGAGGAAGAGCATGAGGAAAAGATTAACATTAAACAGAGAGGAGAGGTGGGAGGGAAAGGGAGAGAGAAGGGAAATTGCATGGAAATGGAAGGAGACCCTCATTGTTTTACAAAATTACATATAAGAGGTTGTGAGGGGAAAGGGAAAAAAAACAAGGGAGAGAACTGAATTACAGCAGATGGGGTAGAGAGAGAAGATGGGAGGGGAAGGGAGGGGGGATAGTAGAGGATAGGAAAGGGAGCAGAATACAACAGACACTAATATGGCATTATGTAAAAACGTGGATGTGTAACCAATGTGATTCTGTAATCTGTATTTGGGGTAAAAATGGGAGTTCACAACCCACTTGAATCAAATGTATGAAATATGATATGTCAAGAGCTTTGTAATGTTTTGAACAACCAATAAAAAAATTTATAAAAAGAAATGCCATTTCTGGTATATTTTACATTTGAGCAGAACACTTATGTTTTACTATATAGCATTTAACACTAATAAGTTAAAAATAGAATTTTAATTGGAATATACAATCTTTAAAGCTTTTCTGTGTTGTTATATGTAATTTATTTTATGTTTTAGGATTCTACTCAGTTACCTAAGGAAATATACCTATGACTTTGAAATGGCAGTCACTGGAGTTTTATGTATTGAAATTCACTTTATATCCAACTTTGCAAAAATACAGTCTATCAATGAAGTATACTACTCAATTAGTTACGTTTGAGAAGTTTATTTTAATAATGAGAACAAGGGGAACCTGCTTTAGTTAAAAGAACAATCTAAAATTTGACTATAAAAGAATCAATTATTTGCCATTAAATTAACTAGCTAAGGGAAAAGATGTTTTGTTTGCTTATTGCCTTCAGCTAGTGCCCAACCAGGATTTAAAAAAAAAAAAAGATTTTTAAATAATTCTATTAAACATCTTCATCTTTTCAGATAAGACATTTTTCTTTTCAATT